TTTATACGATAAATAAGAATCACTTACCACGCTCACACTTTTAAGCAGTAAGGTACGACCACCCAAAAATCCTTTCATGATAAACCCAGCTAAAATACATTTTATTTCAGAAATACCAGAACCGGCCCCATATGGAGCTAAAGAGCGTGTCAGATAAGCACAAATAGCTGCCAAGAGCCCCTTAATAATAATAATAATAATAATAATAACAATAATAATAATAAGATTATAATTTTTGATGATTAAAAAAACATAGATATATATATAGATACAATCAGTGTTGGCAGAATATGGACATGAACAAGATGGACAAATGGACATGACATTTATGGACTATGTCCATATTGTCCATATTTTTTGATTGGACATAGGTACTTAGTCCAAATAAAAATCGAATGCTTTACTCTTCCGAAAATTTCCGAATAGAAAGTCATTGAACGTAAAATACGGACAACATTTCGAAAGAACTTGGCAAAGAAGACATGAGTGAATCATAAAGTGATTACCTTCATTCCATGCAGGATATTGGAAAAATCCGTAAATTGCCCGTCACTACGTCAGGATACTTTTTTTAAAAAATTTTTTTGGACATTGATCAATATATAGATATACAAAATATGGACATGGACACTATTTGGATTAGTCCATGTCCATATTTGTTCATGTCCAAATAAAATTTTTATTGGACATAGTCCAAATGCCAACACTGGATACAATAAAAGGATCTCTTGCAGTATAGGTGACCACTTTAATAAAAATCAATTGATTATAAAGTAGGTCACCTATACTGTAAGAGATCCCAATAAAATCTTTAAAGAATATTACCGAGACTAATACATAAAAGAACCAATTTATAATATAAAAGTTTGTCCATGTTTGCCAATTATCACATGAACCATCTTTTTTTAAAGAAAAAAAAATTAAAATGCCATTACAAAAACAGAATGACAAGAAATTGTACACCAATGAGATTCTAACCTGGCTTCTCAACTTCCCAACAACAAAACTTTTGATTTAACCACCAAGAATTCTTGCAATAGCCAAATTTTATATCTGAAAGCCATTCTGTGATAGTATCAGTCAATGCAGCATTGAGACCAATAATTGCACCTAAATAATAAGCAAATATGGAGACGTAATGTTTAATAAAATTATATTATAAAAATAAATAAATTAAAGATACAGACCAACTATCGACACGACGATCCATGCTTGACTTGACTCGTAAGAAAGACGAAACCACGTGTTCCATGAAAATCTATTTTCTATTGCAGCACTTCGTAATGCATTCATTCTCGATCGTTCGTATATAGCATCTTGAACCCAATCTATAGTAATAAATGGTAATAAATAAAAATCAATCGCAAATTTTCACAAAATTAAACAAAAAAATATTTGAATATTTGATAAAAAAAAAAAACAGATCACCAATTGTCGTAAAATCTTCATATCTCTTAATTTCTTCCAATGCTTTATCACCTCGACTATTAAATTTTGCAGTTGTATCAAGAAAATTCCTCCGTATTCGTGAGAAATTTTGATAATGACGATTTGTATTATTAGGTTGTATAAGAGTATATTGATTCTGAAACGAATTCCATAAACTTGTATATTATAAAATATGTAAATATATATATATAATATATATATATATTATATATAAAAGAATTGCCAAATCATTAAGATTGGTTTTATTAGTTTTAATTTGTTCAATAAAATTTCACATACAGTATTTTTTTATATTTCATATATTATGAAAGAATCAAATCTAAAAGTGTATTACCTAAAAAATTTAGATGTTAAGCTTGAATTTTCGGAAGCCATTTTTGTGTTCAATATACATATATAAATCGTAAGTATAAGGATTATCAGATGCGCGGTTAAAAGAAATACATAAAATATAAAAGGATTTCTTTATTTATATTCGATTTGATTTATAGAGTGATACAAAGTCCAATTCTTAGGTCTGGGTTAATGTAGTACAAATTACAGTAACTCAATAACCGGGTTTAAATCACCACCCAAAAAAATTTCAGTTATCCTAACTGGCCAATCAAAATTTAAGATCAGGTGTAATGTAACACGATCAGAAAAATTCAAAACAAACGTTCGATTTGTTACAAATCGCTCATATCTCAAAATTTAGTCTATGAAACCGCCTTCTGCGTACTAATAAAACATTTTCCTTTCAAAATTTTAATATAAGAAACACTTTCAAGTCAAAGCTTAATAACAAATTACAGACTCTAATCTAATATCGTAAATTTTTACTCTGAAATTTTTTTGGGTGGTGATTTAACACCGGTTGTAACTCAATGGGCATGTCATCCTGCGTTTAAGAATTGGCAGCATTAGCGTTAGGTAAATTTATTCAACAATTTAATATACAGTCGACTCTGGATCAGGGCAACTCATTTACCGGCCATGCAGCCCATTGTTCCAAGTGTCTTTTTTGATGCAATAGAAAAAATAAAATAATTTGAATCAAAGAACGATATTTTTGAATGGCCAGTTGGTATTTTACGCCCTGCTCTGGATATACCGAACCTATTTTATACCGAACTCGGGCTATATCGAACCAGATTTGGCAGAACCGATTTTTTATAAGAATTTAGGCTGCCTATACCGAACTTATATAACAAATTTTTATATACCGCATCCGAACTTTTCTTTACCAGCCCAAGACTATGTACACCTATTTCGATAGAACGAACTATTTGTGTATAATCCCGGTTCCTAAAGCTTCCGAGCTGGAGCAAAAATTTAGAGTGAAGTTCCGCGAATTTCCGAAAATGTTGTGATCCTACACATGATTTCATTGGTTAGCTCTGTATACTGAACTGTTCGGTATAGAAAAAATAAACTATATAATGAACCCACTCTATATCGAACAAAACCTCCCAGAATATGCAGTTCAGAGGGCCCTTATCTGTAAATTCCATGTATTTTGAAGCATGGTGAAACTGTCTAATGATCTAAGCATACTCGCCCAATCAAAATTCATCACGGGTTAATACATGTAAACAATTTTTTTGCATATTCTTAAGATTTTGTTTAAGTTTTCTTGATGACTACCTGATAAAATTCAATGAATTTTTTTATTTTAATTTGGTCATGTGTTTGTCAAGAAAACATCACTTAAACTTTTTAAGAACCTGTTCTGTCTATTAGTAAATTTAAATATTTTTGAATTTTGAGCAAAGGTTTCTCAATAACTATATTGCTAAATTTAATAAAAATTTTTTTATTTTAATTCTATATATGCATAAAAAAATATAATTAATTTAACCCTAGGTGATTCTAAATAATTTTAACTCTGGGCAATTTTAAATATTTTTAATTTAATCTGTGATGATTTTAAATAATTTTAATTATAGGTTACTATTACTAATTTTTAACTAGAATATATAAATTAATTTGTTACTAATTTTTGCTAGTTTTAATTTTATTTTAATCAAATTTTGCCTATTATATTAAATAGAACTTATTACTAATACAAATATACCTTTCTAATATTTTCTTTTATATTTTTATTTAAAAAAGATTTGATAAATGAAATATACTTATATGATTCACAAGATAATAATAGCATCTATTTATATTTATTTTTAAATTTTTATGATATAGAGGTGTGGTGACATAGCGAAGTGGTCAAGTTGTCACCCTCCCAAGTGGCAGATCAAGAGTTCGAATTCTATCAGTAACGAAAATTTAAAAATTCTGCTTGTATTATAGCTAACTATATTTGTTTGATCAGTTAGGATAGGATATCTGTAACTACAGTCACATCAGCAAGACTGAAAGGTCTAGAGCATTTGTGTAATGTTGTACAAAGAGATGCAAATCGACATTAGGGTGGTGCAAACACAAAATAAGCCCCCGGGCTGTGTAAATTCAGAAAACTACGAATATAGAAGTCTGCTTGGCAAGTCCTGAATAGAGAAGTAGCACAGATCTTTGACAGAGCTACTGTAAAGGTTAGATCCAAGAAACTGAACCTGGTAAACTGAACTGAACGGAATATGGGGTGTTAGAGATGCACCCACACCAACCAGGCTACTATAATAGAAAAGAGGACCTAGAAACTGAGATGAAGGAGCTACGACGCATGTGGCTTAGTGGCAAAGTGAAAGGTCTACCAAGGTTCGAGGTACCTGCTTAGAACAGAGGAAAAGTGTATAGTTACAAGACCATCTAGATTGGAAGTCTAGAAACCAGGGTTGGGCCCCTGCTACTGGACGAAAAAGGAAATACCTATACCAACTAGGCCGTCGTCAAACTCAGAGAAAAATAAGTAACACATACCAGGCTATCTGGATTGGAAGTCTGAGTAAAGGAAACTGGGTTACTAAAGTACTGAGGATATACTGTGAAGTAAGTTCTGGTGTTTAAGTGAACTCTACAAGGGCAGAAGTAGGTTTGGATATCAGAATTCAGCCAAAAACTTGGGTTAAATTGTAGAAAAAAAGTAGGAAAAAGTATAAGCTAGAGAATCAACTATAGATAAGGACCTTGATCTGGCACCACACACTTCCAGAATAGGATAAACTGAGCTGCAAGTGGTAGGCTTTGGTCTGTGCGTACTAAACTAAAACGCAAGCTAGGTGCAGTATAAAATAGAAATACTGCGGGCTCTATCAGATTTATCTCGAGGATAAAGTAGTCCTAGGTCGGTTATGTGTAAATAGTTGTATCAAGAAGAACTGGTTTCTGGAAGACCGGAGAAATAGTACCAATTATGGGAAGGTCTCAGAGTACATAGGCGCAGAGGGTTTAAAATAGGTAACCCCTAGTCAGGTTGCAGATACAGCAAATAGTGTAGAACCTAATAATAGGCAGATTACTTAAATAGGCGCTCAAAAAGCACAGGTATAGCTAAATGTATTCTCCAAATATGTATAATGATGTTCTTATATAATAAAGCACAACATGACCAAGAGGTTACCTTAATACCAAAAAAAAAAAATTTTATGATATATTATTCTTTAATTCGTGATCCGCCAGTGAACTAGTAAAAAACTATAGTAACTTTGGGATATGTTTACTATATAAATTTTGTCTTTTTTGAAATCTGAAGTTTTCCAAAAAAAGAGTTTTTTTTTTTACTAAGTAAACCTCTTTTTAATGCTTAAGTACAGTCAGAAAATATACCAAATTAGAGAATCAATGTGTAGATCATTCTAGAATCGGATGTTCACATTTGATTGATTCTTGCGCACGTTTTGCGGAAATTTTTTATTCATTTAATTCATTACTACAAACTCACAAATAGATACATAAGTAGGTTGACAGCACCAGGGTGTAGAATTGATTTTCCAGTCACATGATTTTCCAAGATCAATTGGCCAATTAAAAATCAGAATCTGGTGTAACGTAAAAAAAAATCAAAACAAACGTTCTCTTTGCAAAAACCACATTTATTTCAAAACTTTTATTAGTAAACTGCTTTTGGGGTTCTAATAAAAAAAATTCATCGTGCAATTTTACTATTAGGCAGCCCTTCCTAACCCTAAAATACTCACGAACCTAACATAAATATACCTTTTTGTTCGAAAATGACAGGTCTCGGAAAATCACATGATCGGAAAATCGATACTACGCCCTGTCAAATTCTAAGTAGGTTGTAGAAGACGTTTAGCTTAAATAATCCACAATAATCCACTCCATTTTACCTTCACTAAAAAAGTAGATAAGAGCCGAAATCTGGAGTTCTGTTTGTATATAGATGCTTAATCTTACTGAAATGGTGTTTAGTAAACTGCTTTTATTTCGCTGTGTTTGTGTTTAATTATTACAGTACAGAACTATAGAACGTTTAGTAATTTATTAAACCAAACTTTTTCTACTACAATAGTTGAAGCTTAGAATTTATTCAACGTATGAAAGATCAAAAGCTTAATCTGCATTGAGTTGTTAATAATCTGAGTGCTGTCAAGGGAGAATAAGACTTCAGGTTTCAATTTTATTATTTATTATTAATTTGATCAAATTTTAAGCTTAGTTTTATTAGTTTATCGCCTGTACACAATCTTTTATTCAAGTCGATTCAGGTATTATTATTTATTAATTGACGGCTACAGCATTATATTTAGTTTTGGTTTGGGAATTGGCATTTCTTTTAGAGTTTATAACCAAAACTCAAAATATATCCCATTAATATCCTATCTGTAAATAGTATTAGACTCAAAAATCAAATTTAAATTAGATTAAACATAATAAAAAATGTATTAGATATTGCATAATTAAAAAACAATATTATGATGACGATTTCATTATACTTCGAATCCGAATTCTAGAATCATCTGACTGAATATCATTACCAAATTAGGTGTGATCATCAATAACCAAATTCGGTATATTTCCTGACTGAAGTAAAGTTGTAAAAAAGTGTCTTGCGATCAGAATAACGATTAAAACATTAAAATTGATTTAGTGGATCGTGAAATATAAGCATTTTAGTCTTCGCAACTATATGTTTTTTTCTTTATTTATATAAAGAAGAAAACATATAGTTGTGAAGACTAAAATGCTTATACCTCACGATCTACTAGACCGATTTTAACATTTTAATTGTTATTCTGATCGCAAGACACTCCTCTACAACTTTACTTGGGCATTAAAAAGAGGTTTACTTAATAAAGAAAAAAACTTTTTTTTTGGAAAACTTCAGATTTCAAAGATAATAGTAAATTTTTCCACTTTTTACTATATTTTGTCACTGGTTCATAGATGGACCACGAATTAATTTATCTACTTATTTTGCTATATATTTCAGTTTATCTTTTACTATACTAGAAGAAAAGTACTCTTTGTTTAGAGAAAAC